CACTCACTCACTCACTCACTCACTCACTCACTCACTCATACACACCTCCTCCCTCCCCTCCTTCTCATCCTCGTCCACCACATCATCACTTATACTACACGTCTTAGCACAACCGCCTCATATACCTTCTCTCCTCACACTTCGTTCTTGACTTTTCATCTCACTACTCCGTCTCCCATGTGATGTTCACATACAATTGAAATTTGTAAAACTTATCATGTGGGGTTATCCGGTCCTTTTTTATTTCAATCATTTGCATTGGGAGGGGCCATGATCCAATCACGGAAGAGGGTCTGAATATGACGCGTAACTTGGCACAAAAGAGATAGTACGTTCATCTGACTGGTACTCAGTCGGGAATGAGGGAATGACCCCTCTCGATACCTTAGGATCCATTCTCTCATTCCTTACTGAGCACCAGTCAGTCATTGAGTTCTGCCATGAAGTTGGAGGCTGGAAGGGCTTCCCTTCCAAAGGGAGTGGGCCTCCACATGGACTTGGAGCCGGTGGGACGGATATTCTGAGACGGGTGTTAAGGGGATTCAACCATTTGTCTTTTCAGATTCACTTTGGTTTGATGAGTTGATCTTTTCCTTTTGATTGCAATTTGATTGCATGGGCTTCCGTCAGGACAGGTGGAGGAGCCTGACCAAGCCAAGCTAACGAGTTCCCACAGCCAATTGAGGCCAATTGCTTTCCAAGTCTACTCAAATGCCATTCATAAACAGTCCATGCGTCGCACATTAAGGTGGTTTTAAGATACTCTATGGCAATGGTCCATGTAGGAAAGTATTTGAGACCCATGGAATGTTGGGGATTTGTGACCAGTGCTTCGCAAAGCTCTTTCCATTCCACCAGTTGGGGTATAGTATCCTTCACACACATTTCTAGTGGAAGTCGTCCACACGAAGAGACCAGTCAACTGTGAGACCAGTCCAGATCACGACGCCAACTAAAGGGTTTCCAGCTTCTTTGCTGGAGTTTGCGCGCTGTTTTTATCTGTGGAGGGACCCTTTGAAAAGACCTTGAAGATCCCCAAGGCTGTCAACTTACATGGTGACCTGGAATGTACGGTGTTGACCCGATATCAGGCATGTTCGACATGTTCGACTTGGCCAACCGTGGTCTCAAGTCTTATCCGATACGACCTCCATTACACCACATATTAATAGCTTTGGCTGCTGCTAATGGATGATCGGCATGTGGAAGCCTGAATCTTGACAAGCAGACATGCCCAGGTGCATTCCGCCCGGGCATTCTCTCATTTCTTCCCTGCGCCCACTTGTTTCTTCTTGATGCCCAAGATACTCACATGCGCAGGACTATCCCTGCGTTGCTTTGGCCAGCCAACCGCCTGATGCACTTGCTCTGAGGAGCAACTATACTAAGTATAGACTTGAGCGTGTTCAAGTAGGGCCTCTTTGATCTGGAAACGCCGATATGAGTGCTTGCTGTGTCTAAGCGCAGATATCTGTGGAGCACAGTTGCATACAGCTAAGCCGGGTGGTGGCTTCATTTTTTTAAAATGTGCAGCCTTTCTTGGACAAGTGAACCCACTGACCAATATTCTTAAAGTGAGCTGAAGCTTGCATCCAACAAACTTAGCAGTTCTGTTAACTGGCGGTTAGACGCGGGCTGAAGCCCCTGGGACTGCCCAACTTGTTTATTATTTGTTTGTCATCAACTTTCAGCTTGCTGGAGCCAGCTCCTAACCCCCATGTCCTCACAGCCGGACGCGAGGTTTGTCGATTGGGTGGCCAAGTCCTTCGCACCAAAACACCACATCTTCCAACCCATCGAGGCGCTCTGTTTTCGGCACGCCCGATCCGGAGCATAATCGAAACAATTGTTGTTCACACCATGTTTTTTGTAAGGCGAATCTATAGTTTGGGTCCCAATACTTGTAACAACCGATCAACAAGTACCACTATAAATGATAAAGGCTTTGACTAACCAAAACATCATCATCCACCCCTGTTGCAGGGAATGGGAAGTATCCGTCGGGTTCGTCATGCGTCGATCCGGATCGGCTGAAGGATCGAAAAAATCCGAAGTGTTGGCTGCAAGTGTTTTTCAGGTCCTACACAAGCAATTCAATTGGTAGGGTTTGTTGATGTGTTGTTGATTTGCAGACCTGGTTCTTCCAAGTGACGGAACTTGATCCCCTGGTTTGAGGTCACTTAGGCCGGTAGAAGGTCACTTGGGGACTCCAAAAAGGTCACTTTGAAGAAACTGGAGGTTCTGCAGGTCCCAAAGATCTGTTTGAAACATGTTGAAGCATGCCAAACGAGGCCATTTTTTTTTGGCGAATCATGTTTTTTTTTGCAAGAACGTCCACGAAATCTGATGATAGAAACTGTTTGGGCACTGTCAAGTTGGATGCTTTGTCTGGGAAGGAGATGCAGCCATCCAAGAGCTTCAGAAGCCGATGTCGCGGCTGTCGCCATCTTGATTTGGTCAAGCCTCCCCCAATTACGGTGTTTTGAGCTGAAACTTGCGAGAGTGTTGGCTTCTTGTACTATATATATATAGCGCTTTATGGCTTTATGTTCTATGGCTGGCTATACTTTGTATATGTGTCAGGTTGCATCTCCAAGTCATCCAAGTTCACCGACACGTTTCTTTCGTTTTCGCACATGGCCGTTGCAGGTGGCCGATGTACTGCAACGGCAAAGTTTGGTGAACTCCAGCATGTGTCACGACTTTGCTGCTTGGGCAGAAACATGTTTAAGCTTGGGAAATCATGAAAACAAATAAGCTTTGTGTGTAAAGTTCGCATTTTTTGGGGGGTGATCTCGATGATGTTCTTAAGGGTCCGGTGACGGGATCGGCAGCGGAGGGGCTATTTTCAGCCTCTCAATCCACTTGGAGCATCTCAACAGGTTGAGTCCTGGAGTTGGCAAGTAGACCAAGACATATACCAAGACCCATGCAAAAGTCGAAGCACCAGCGTTGACCACCTACCTCATTGTTGGTATTGTTGATCGGTGTGGATAGGTGACAGGAGCTTTGTTCGATGATCTTAGTACTTTCTGAGAAGGTGGGCCGGGGTACACCATGGTACACCCTGTTTTTGGCACCGAACCGAAGATCACAACCCATGTGTTCCACCCCTCACGCCAGGTCACAGAGGGCCTGTGGTTTCTCTACGCCAAGGGTGCTGAACTCCACCCGGAGGAGCACGTCTTTCGGGATCACATCATCCTGCGCCCTGTGGCGTTCGCTGCGTTCGCTGCGTTCGCTGTTTGCGTTGGGCGTGCGGCTGGGAGCTGTTGCGTAGCACGCAGCCAGGAGTTTCGGATGTGATTTTGGTGTCTTTAATAAGCAGTAGAAAGTCTTGAAGATTTAGCTTTGAGCAAAGACCAAAAGGACTTCCAATCGGAGTCGACGTGCAAGCAACACCGCGTTTGCATTTGGAAGAGTTTCCTATAACCTTGGAAGCCATAATCTTACATCATCGTTGAACATTCAACTTGGGCCATCGGTCCAATCCCTGGTGGACCCTCTGGTGGGTTGACCAAGTGGTTGACCATGTCTACTAGTGTTCATGTTTGGCATTCAACTAGGGTCCCCGTGGTGCAATGACCCACAGCCATCTGTCTTCTGTGGCCGAAATCGCCATCCACAGATCCTGGGGACCCGCAGGTCCGCTCGGCTGCTCGACCGGAATCCCCCGATCTCCTCATCGATCCTTAGTACGCTCGACCCGCGACCCGGGGCAGCACCAGGTTCCTCAGCTGTTGACTTCGGGTCCGAGCAGGTACGCCCATGCAGCTCGGCTGCCCAAAGCCTCATGGTCTACGATGCGGCAATGGCAGCGGTATCTGCGGCAGCTGGACTTGTCCATGGCCAGGCTGGACATGTCAATAATGGGCTGTCAATGCATTGAAGAGACTGCCGGTGTTCCAGACCGAACTGGGTTTTCCGACCCCCAACCGCCCTGGAAGCTTTGGGAAATAGACCAGGACAAAGACCCCTTGACGCGCCGAAACGGACCCGATCACGAGCCGAGACGGACCCGACACGGAATACGATACGGTACAGAGCCTACACCCCCAAGTACCTCCTGAGAAGGTGTTTGAACCCTCCTGGCACCCACCCCAGTCCCACCTTCTGAGGTTCGGTACGACTGGAGGCCAAACGGCCTGGAGAGCCTTCGAAATCATTCCCAGGGCTGAAGAGGTCCACAGCTCGGTCAAAGTGGTCAGTCATGTCGGGTTCCTCATTCGCCTCTTCCAGACGTCCATCACACGTGCGTGTGGCGGTGGTGGTTGCCGCGGGCGATGTCAGGATCAAGAAACAATTCACCTTTGCGCGCGAAGCATTGCTGTGGAACTGGCGCTTGCAATTGCCAACCTTCCTTCATACAGAGCCACTAGCCGATTCTGAGAGAGAGAGAGAGAGAGAACGAGTGGCAAGGAAAGACGGCCCTAAAGCAGATATAATAGAAAAGATGTCAAACACTGCCATTGCATTTTGAACATGCGTTTATTTGGAAGTTCCTGTGATTTTTTCTACCTCTACCAGCACATACCAGCACACAGCGGTCACCACCTGCTACAGTCTCCAAGTGGCATGGGTGCTTCTATATTCATACTCCAACCTCACCATGTCTTCATTCATAGCACCCCGACTGGTTCGACCCAACTGGCGAACGGCACCTCATCGACACCTCAAGCTTCAACCTATAGCAATGGCCTCCAACCCAAAAACGCGATGGCCTCCACCGGGTCGCTTCTTGCTCCGTTCGTAGCGATGGCCTCCAACCTCTATAGCGATGGCCAATACCAGTGCGATCGACCGAGGAATCAAAGCTTTCAGATCGATCTCGCGCCGCCCTTTCTGACGCTCGGCGTGGCGGTTACGCCGGTCGGGTGGAGCTCAGAGCTGCTCAGCGGGTCAGCGGGTCACGGATGACGAACGGGTGCACGGGGGTCCCGACCCGACACCGAAGCGGGCTCCCGGCCTTCAAAATGTATTGAGGGCCCGGATTCTTAGGGCGGAACAAAAACACGAAGTGACCCCGATCACAAAGCCGGACGGCCTACACAGAACGGCGATTGCGCACGTGAAATGGTGAAAGCTACGAAGGAATCGACCAACCGTGACTAACCTTTCGGTAGATGTTTTGACTCGGTGGATGCGCCCCAGTTGCAGATTTGCACTTGGACAGTGAACGAAGAACCTTAATTGGTAAGTACCTGTAAATACCTTGGTGAGGTAATTATCTCAGTATCTCCATTAAACAAAAAAGAACATGTCATGTCTCATCCCTTGCTTTGTTTTGGCCACTCTGATCATACGACATACAATTAGGTGATCCCACGTACATCCCAGTGGTGGTGCACGTCGAAGCTACCGACCCGACAGGGATCCTTGTGGGCACCTGTTTTTTCTACTCCTGAGGTGGAATCAGGTCGAATCGTACCTTCATTCTCGCATTGCTTCAAGACACACCAGTTGAGATGGGTGACATTTTGGCATGGGCTCATCAGAGATCGTCGGATGCAGCACACCAGGAACTACTGCTACTTGCCCTTGGCAATTCCACCGGAGGTGCTGTGTGCGGGGGTGCGGGGCGGGGGGGTGGCAAGGAATAAGACATTTGGCCTTCCAAGCAGTGGAAGAGGAGACCAAAGGAGATACATTTATATAGTTGTTCGCCGGTCAGCAATATACATGAATCCCAAAAAAAATCGGGCTCCACTGCAATGAGCTCAAGCCAAGGTGCCGGGAGTGTGTGTTTGTTTTTGTTGTTAATGCCTTCAAACGCACTGGTGTTGTTGTTTATAATTGAGGAGCTGACGCCCAACGGCGGGCTAACAGAGGCGTCGCTGGGGGGTGGTTGTGGTTGTGGTTGTTGTCAACGACGTTGTTGTTGTTGTTGTTGTTGTTGTTGTTGTTGTTGTGGTTGTGGTTGTTGTTGTGGTTGTTGTTGTGGTTGTTGTGGTTGTTGTTGTTGTTGTGGTTGTTGTGGTTGTTGTTGTTGTTGTGGTTGTGGTTGTGGTTGTGGCTGTGGTGGTCATCCTTCTTTGGATCGCGCCGAGGTGCACAATCCCTTCGGTGAGACAAAGCTTTGTGCCCTGGGGCTTCAGGCCGGGCTTTGGTCGGCATGCCCCTACACCTCCAGTCGTACCTCCGCAGAAGGTATGACTGGACCCTCCTGGCACCCACCCCAGTCCCACCGAACCTCAGGTTCGGTACGACTGGAGGCCTAGGGTGTCTTTGGCTGCTTGGGATGGGTCGTGACCCACCATGTTCGCCCGACCAGTCTACCATGGTTGCCAGCTTGTTGCCGCGACATCATGTAGGTCAACTGGTCGGTCAACCGGGTGCCATGACCGGTCAGCCAGTCGGTGTTCGTTGTGTTCGTTTGGACCCACGTTTTCTTCGACTCTCCGTGGCTTTCTTCGTTTTGGTGGCCGCGTTGTCCGGCCCATCATGTTGGATCGGTGTGGCGTTGGTGATGCAGGAAGAAGGATCTAAGATCCTCAACCTTGATGCATTTCTCCAAATACACAGAACCACAGTGTGAGCCGCAGTCTGCAATTCGGCAATCTTCGGAATATGACACATTCTGCAATTTTTGTTTGCCAACTATTGATCCAACTTCTTTCAACTCGGAGTGCATGTTGACTCATGTTTTTTTATTGGCGGCATGGATTAGGATCGCACTCTCCTTCCACATGATTGAGAAACCACCATAGATAGCCTGACCTACGCATTTGCTTGCGGGTTGGTTGATAATCGAGGGGTGGTGACCAAGTGGTGACCAAGTGGTCGTCCAATCCTGGCACAGAACCCCTTTTTGTTCCTTACAGAACCCCTTTCGGCCGCACATGCTCGACACCACATCGTTCTCGACATGTTCGACCGAACCCGTCGGGTCTGTCGTACAAAAAGGACCTAGCTGAGAGACCTATAAGGATCCAAGTACCCTCTGAGAAGGTGGGACTGGGGTGGGTGCCAGGAGGGTCCAGTCGTACCTTTTGAGGAGGTGGATCCCTAGGGATATATAGGATCCGAACCAAAGTGAACACGGACCATGGGTCCGTTTCCATGTCCGCTTCGCCTTGTAGAACGCGCCTCCAACCCTGCCAGGCGAACACCAGCAACTCCACGGCTCCCTGGCCGTACGGCTCCCTAGACCTCCACGGCTTCCACCCATTTCACACCTCCACTCCATGACCCTCCGTGGCTCCACTCGACGACCGACTTGTACCGGAGAGGGGGGGAGAAAGTCTGAAAACGGCTCGAGGCTCCATGCGAGCTTGGGGAGAGGTGATTTTTTTCCTTGATATGGTCGATCTTGTATTTGGTGTTGTTTGGTGAAAAAGGTGTAGGAACACTGCTGGATAATTTGGGCTGGGGTGCCCTAGGTTCATTGACTCATTTCGTGAGGTTGCATGTTTGTTGATTGCCCCTTGGGCCCATCACATGAGGGCACGACATTCTGAGGAAGTGTTTCGGTATGATCCTTAGCCGAAGGTGGCGAATCATCTGACTATAACTTATTAACCTGCATCGTGAGGGAATATGGACAAACCGGACAAAGGACAAAAGGATTGTGTGTGTATGAATACTGTCAAAGCCAATCAAACACTTGAACAAAATTCACAACCATGCTAGGTCATAGGTTGACATCTCTGAAATGGATGTTTCTTTTTCGCAAGGCAACGAAGTTGCAGGGGTTTTGACCTTGTCCCATGTTTGGTTTGTCATGACAATTTTGACCATGTGCCTGCCGATCCTCTTAGAGTTCTTGGGTGCAACATTCGTAAACCAAAACTCACTCGGCCTCCAACTTGAGGTGGGGCACGCAGCTCACGGTAGAGGAGCACCTCGACCGGCCGGAGGCGACGGTTCCCGTGAGCGGTGCGCAGCTGGGTGCGCGAGCGGATCGGCGAGCTCGGCCGAAGCGACGCCAGGCAGATGTGCGCACCGGACTTCATCAGCTACCTCGGGGTGAAGAGTGAGTTGATTGTTACTGATCCAAACGCATGTTAAAGCAACTATAGTTACAGCATCATGGTGTTCTGGTCCTTGCGCGATCTGACAATCAGTGCAGCCCTATGTCAGATGGCATATGACAATTGCTTCGCTGGGCAGGTCCTTCTCTCAGGCTGCATGGTGGCTCTATTGGCTGCCTTGTGGCCCTTCTTCCAGGCCTGTTACACGAGAGGGACCTTCGGAGAGAGATGCTGTCGTGACCAGGGGTGGATCATGGTGATTACTCTCATGTCGCAGTGTCTCACAGAGGGTAGCTTTGTGAGTATTGTGGATGATCTATGGGGGAATATTTGCTGTTTTGGTTTAACATGGTTTTACCTTGTTAAATGTGTGTTTCCCCTCGGTGGGTTTTGGGCTTGGCTTTGCTTGGTTTTGGCTGTTGGCTTTTGCTTCTGTGGCTCTCTAGCGTTTGTTGGTTGGGGACGTTTGGTGTTTGAAAGGAATATTAAACACATACTTACGGTTGTTGGACCGGAGCAGTGCTGAGCTTGTGAATTGTCAAGGAAAGCAAAAAAGGACCAAGGGACAGGGACACAAACAATATTTTAAGTTTCAATGATTGTAAGCGGAGTAAGAAGGCCACAAAAAACAAGAAACGAAAACACATTAAGTGTCCGCCTTATATGTTGAATGATGTTGAATGTATCCATTGAATTCCTGCGTTTATGCGCTTCCGTGGGGATGAGCTACAGTAGTCGCTTTTTAGTTTCTGATTGCCGTGAGGGCTTTCGGGCTGGCAGTGTTATAGACTCGAGGGCAGTGGGCCGACTTCACAGGTCTTTACTTGAGGGTTGGGAAGGGCTGTGACCAGGTCTCAATGGGTGACTTGTTCAGAATAAAGCTAGCTGGACTGGACGACTGTGCGCCAGGACCCTCCGATAGAAGCGAACGTGAGAAAACGGAGTAAAGGCGGAATTGGCGGGGCCATGGCATCGAAGGGAAGCCGCCTTTTTGGAAGTGACCGGGCCATCAAGAAGTCTAAGTTACAGTTCATGTAAGCGTCCAAGTGTCTTCCGAGCAACGTCCAAGCATCGCCTCCTGCGAGGGCCGGAAGTTGGGACAATGCAGAAACCATTCAAAGAGGTACTACTTTCAGAAAAGGAGTCTCAACAGGTCCCATCATGGCTCCTGACCTTCTCCCTGGATGTTTGGTATACTAAAAGGTTAGGCTTTTTCCACGATGTTCTCGATGGGTTGCTGAAGCACCTCGTTGTTCTCGTGGCGGGCTCTGGGAATTTGGTCACTGAAGTTGAGAACATGAGATTTACACTTATAGTGTTTTTTAGAGGTCCCCGAGACGGAGGTGAGGATCAGACTCTTTCGTTCGTCAAGTGTTGCCTCTGATGAAAGAAAAGATGCTGACCATGAATGAAGGGCTGAACACACATTCATGGTTGCTTGTTCTGCCGATCAGGCTCAAAGTTCAGCCAGGAAAGCATCATAAAAAGAACAATCACACAGACAGTTCCGCGCAAGATGAACAACGGAACATCTTGAGGGTGGAGGAGTCCCACAATGTGGAGGACATACTAAGCCTGCAGATGAAGGAAGGTCCTTTAAACATCTGTGTCATTCAATTCAATCACCGAAATAGAAAAGCAACACAATGCCGAGGGACCTCAAGACCATCCTGAAAACATCCCATCTCACCATATCCAAGTGGCCTGGTGTCCACTAGATTCTTCACCTCACAGTGTACAACAATCAACCAGCGAAGGGGTAGGATTTACATCAAGATTCATGCAATGGTACCTACCGTAGCATACTGCCCCCTCAGTATTGCTCTTAAGAGGTCTTCTTATGGCGCCCGAAGGCGGGGACCAGCTGGCGCCAGCTGTCTCTTCGCTCGGCTTGGGGTTGGTTTCAGTCACAGCCTCCGCGACATGTTGGAGACCTTTTTACTTAAGAGTCCATAGACTTGCCATAGACCCATGGACCAGAACATGCACATCAAAATTCCTGGGACTCTCTTGTGGTCTGTCGATCCCGACTTTAAGAGCTCCAAGCGCCAAAACCCATCCTCCAATCCTTGTGCAGCGAACAGGTCTCGCGGTCGGAGACCGAAGTCTTAGAGCGTTGCATCCTTCGGGTCCAGAAGAGCCCGAAGTCTTAGAGCCCGAAGGCTCTGAAGGCTCTGAAGCATTCATGTCACACCGTCAGACCGAGTGGCCTGAAAACGGCTTTTTAACACCGTCAGACCGCGGTGGAAGTTGGCCTGAAAAGCTGAAGCCAACATGCTTTTACAAATAACATCACCTCCACCTTGAGAGGGAAGACGTTTTCCAGAACTAAAGGACGGTTTTTATTGGTATGGAATGGGGAAGGAAGCAGGTGGAAGGTTTCCATCAGCAGAATCTCCTACATCACCAGCACCGCCCTTATGTCACACAGAAACACATCCCAAAGAGACAAGGCTATTTGAAAGACAAGGCTATCCCCAAACTCTCATGATACTTTTGCCAAAAGTCTCAGAGACACCCAACTCACCAGGTCCCAACAGAGGTGGGTCAGAACCCTTTTTGTATCGACTATCCCAGTTCCAACGTCGGCCGATCGCCAGGAGCTTTAAGCGCCTCCGAGCGGCAAGCACTTCAGGTGGCGCGCCAGGCGATCAAAAAGGCACGCAGAAACATGGAAATTCCGGGTTTTATCTATGTCACTGTGGGTGGAAGTTGCTTTTTTTTGTATTTTTCCTGGTGTAGGTGGTATATTTACTGTATTAAGTTTGGAAGAGCTAGAGGTGGTTTATATATAGGTAATGTTGGATCCTGATTAGTAAAGGCCCCCCCCCCCTCAAACAAACAGGGGGACCTCTATAATAAACTATCACCAAAACAAATCTGGATTCCTGGTGAGGGATCTTTTGTAATTGAGTGTAGTATTCATTTTCCTTTCATAGATTGTATTCAGCTTCCTTTCTCAGGTGCTTTGTAATTGTTCTCAGCAATCCTGTTGCTTTGCAGCCTCAGATCTTCAGCTCAAGAGAAGCCCCAAGCTTTCATTGGCCTCAGGAGCTAAGTAAAGGGAGATTCCATGTGCATTTTTCCAGTGGAAAAAAACTTTTCACAATAGAGGTCCCAAAAACAA